GTAAAACATGACCAATCCAATTAGCCTTCCGTTTTCTTATTTCGTGTAGGATATTCCTCTGCTCACTGACTCTAATTAACACTTCTTCATTTCTCACATAATCGGTCCAACTGATCTTCTCCATCCTTCTCCAACACCACATTTCAAAGCTTTCCAGGTGTTTCTGATCTACTGGCCCAAGTGTCCAAGTTAACACTTAAAGCACGGTAATTTATATATATAAATACATACCGATTGCTGTAATATAAAAATACCTCCTCTTTGTCCACGCAATATATTAATGAGTTTCGTAAGATTCTCGGCATAAACAACGATTATTTTTCAAAATTATAATAATTAATTGGATTTGGAAATGTGTTTTCTGAGATGTAAGAAGTGAAATTTTAAATATTATTTAGTTGAACTTCAGGTTTGAAAGAATTAATTTATTGTATTAAGCACTTTACACCAATGAACCATTGATTATTAAAAATCCATGTGACAATTTAAAGTCTCCAGTCCTACAAACTCAATAAAGCTATGCCCAGTTCGTGTTTAGCCTTTGCTTAACCGGAAATTTGTCCTTAGATTTCAGTCGAAAGCCTTACAAGTTGTGATGAGGAAACAAAGAATAGAGCATGCTCACTAGTAAAGCGTATTTAATTATGGGGGAAGGGGCGTATATAGGTATTTTAAAATTAGACGTGAAGAAGAGTTTGTAAATACGTGACTGAAACTGAACTGATTGAGGATGTGGGTTGTCAGAGGAATTTAGCGACACAGCGACAAATATAAGTCGAATTCAGTTACTTTCCTGATAAGCTTGATAACCGTCAAGTAGGTCTACTTAAATACTTGAGGAAGAGTAAGTTTACTTAGAAATAATGTCGATCTGAAAAATCATGATTGCCAGCGGATACAGGCCTACCATATTAAATTTTATATCCAATAGCTACAAAATTATTGATGTAAGACTGGGCGTCTTCTAGAAACCGAGGTTAGAAAATCTGCGAATATTTCCGGGTGTTCCAACTGAAACATAGAAGATACTGAGGACAGCAAAAGAGCGGCAGGGCATTGTCTGCAACAAGCACCACACTGCGTAAAGATCTAACAAGAAACTTATGCACGAAGCATAAAACGGGCATGACTCAGATGCACTGCGAAAAGTATTATTATTATTATTATTACTACTTTTAATTTATTATTATTATTATTATTATTACTATTACTATTATTAACTTCGTGACAAGTTCAGAGGCTCATCTGTCTACTGTGACACGGTTTGACGTCATTCAGCGCCTGTATACCAGGACCGTTAAACGAACACTTCCGGTTCATGAAATATAAACGGAACGAGGAAGCAAAAGAGAGGGGCACGAACCCGGTTAAAGCAGGAAGAAGCGGGACCTAATCATAGCATGAAATTAACGACAACAGCGAGATAAAAATAAATCCACCCCACAAGGGCTGCAACACCTCTCTCTCTCTCTCTCTGTGTCTATACTCAGACGTATGGCCATTTAAAAGTACCCTTAACCCCTCTTCAAATTCTGTATTTATAAAAAACTGAAAACAACCCCCATATTATGTTCCTTCATATTCTCACTGTATAGTAAGGGGTGGAGTACCCACCCCTAGCTTAAAACCGTCCCTTAGTGCTTCATCCTCATTGGCCAGTAGTCAGGTCGGCCATCATGGCAAGGGGCGGTCGAAAAGGGAAGCGTGTTAGGGTGAGATTTTTTCTGCAGCTGCCAAGGGTGAACCTCTATCCCAGACCAGCGTTGCCACGCACTCGGAATATTAATTTTTTAGGGAACCATACAGAAGGACAAACACGCAGGGCGATGTCTACTATTCATGTGCAAACATTTGACTGGAGTCAGCGTTTCGCATCCCGCCTCCTACAGAGAGACACAAGATGCAGCTGCAGTACATTGTGCATTTAGCTTGTGATTCATAATTCATATTCCTCAGTACGGCTATAGTGTAAGTCGGATGGCAGGACCATGCAACACATAAGAGAAAGCAAGAAATTCAAAGACGAAGATCAAAATTGAAGAAATGGATAGAAGGGGGGGGGGGAAAATAAAAAGGAGGATAATATTAATA